TTTGTGACGCCATTACGTACATATGGCGTCATAACTTATGAAAATATTCAGTGCTTTGAAGTCAGCATATACTCCCCTGTTTAAGAACTTAATTAAATATATTTCCAAGTTTGATTTGGGGGGCAAATATTGGTTATTACCGAATAAAGTTCTTTCTTTAAAATTTATGTAAAATTACCAATCTTTGACTTTATTTACCAAAGTCTGACTCGTTCCGCTGAAGTAGAATTTTAAGAACGATAACTCTAAAAATCGAAAAATCATAAATTTCTGGTTATTTCCCTTTGATGATGTAAAATATGACGTAACTTCAAGGCCATTCTCAGGGTATTTTTATCACAACATGATAATCGGTATCATTAAAAAAATTAAATCTTCAGCTTCTAGACAGAAACAAATAAATACACAGAACTCTTAAGTTGAAAGAGAATTTATTGTCTAACGTTGTCCGAAGCAAGGTATGTGTCCGATGCATGGTGAATTCACCCTAAATAAACTTTTTAAAAGACCAGAAATATTCATACATTTAAAATTGCTGTGATGTCTCATGTCATAAGATAATTTAAATTTTAAAAATTAAAAGTAAAATAGCTTCTTAAGAATAATCGGGGTATGCAGTAGTAAATAAATACGTTTTTTTTTTAAAACAAATAACATTTCTTTCCAATCTCAAGTTTGAGGAGGACTGTTCCACAATGTTGCACTTGCTACATCGAATCGCCTGTCGCCGTATGATTTAGTCCGCGCGCGAGACTGAACAAGGAACATGAAGTTCTCTGAGCGTAGAGATCTACTAGGCGTGTTAACCTGAACCAGTTCTTGTATATATAGTGGCGATGTTCCGTTTAAAGCTTTAAAAGTTTGTAGAAGTAGCTTGTACTGGATTCGATGTTCTACGGGGAGCCAATGTAAGTTGACTAACACGGGTGTTATATAGGCATGTTTCTTTGTACGAGTAATTATCCTTGCGGCCGTATTTTGAATCCGTTGAAGTTTTGTTAAGGAACTGGTGCATATACCGTATAGTAAGGCATTGGCATAATCTAGACAACAGGTTACAAGTGAGCATACCAGGGTCTTACGAACACTCGCTGATATTAAAGGTCAAATGCATCCAATATTTCGCAGTTGATGGTAACATGACTTGGTAATGTTTCGAATTTTGTGACCCATGTTCAGCACAGTATCAAAGAAAACGCCTAAATTTTTCATACATGATTAATTTCTTAATTTCTTAAAATTGTGCTCCTTTTTGCAAGATAAAATACTTAAACAAACTGTTAAGCAGCCAAACACAAAAAAGTATTTCGAAAATGAAACATTATCATAAATAAAGGTTTTACCCTGAATACTGAAATTTAAAAGTTTTCGTCTTCAGACCTGTGGGTAAAATCTTTTTCGGAAAAATTTAATTTCAGTTGTAACACATCATTTGATTGGTTAAACGTCTTTATCCATTTTGTATAACATAACTTGTTTACGTCACAATGAGTTACGTCAAATACGTATTTCTCCGCTTGACGTTAACTTTTAAAATATGCTATATCTGAAGCCTTTTTCCGAAGGAAAAACTGGAAAAATTGTATCATTTTCTACATTGAAATTAAATTATAAGTAAATGAAGCTTGTTTCAACTTATGTTATATGTTATAACATAAATTTGTGCACTTTACGCTTTTTATAAAGCGTAAACTACCCCAAGTTATGTTATATCGTATGACAAAAGTTGAAAAAAACCTTCATTCCTTAAATGGAGGGGGGTTGCGGCTGGGCGGGATTATGACAAAGGTCATGATCATCAATGCTTTAATCACTAAACTTTGGTGAAAATACTTAAACTTTATAAACAAAATTAGATTGATTATTGCCTTTTTAACAAATTTGTATTGTTATCATAGTTTTGAAATTAGTTAGATTTTTTTCTTTCGATTTTCTTTGTAAAATTTCATCCCTAATTGTTGTTTCTTCTGTCCCTATGTGTTATAATTTAAACAAACTTGAATCCACACTACTTGATGATACTTTCATATTAATATGACGGATTACAGTTTCGCTGTTATTGAGAAGTTTTTTCTCTATATATTCCTATATAAAACTTCGAACCCCCATTGTGGCCCACCCTCCTCAACCTAGGATTTTTCATATCAAAATGACTAATCATGGCTTTGCTGTACTAAAGAACCATTTTAAAGATTTTTTCCTTTATATTTCTATGTAAAACTTTGAGTCCCAACCCACCAAACCCCGAGGTCATGATTTTGACAAACTTATATATATACACAAGCTACGTGACAATGTTTCCATATAAATTTAAACACTGATCGACAGCATGTTTTTTACGTCCCATTCTAGACTTTTTTACTCACTCATAATGAGACGTCACCATATACCGGAAAAAAGTGTCAGAATTTAGACCTTTACTCGGCACTAACAGCAATTGAGCAGTAAGGAATTGTTATCGTACCAACGCCTGCCGTGACACGAATCCTCAGTTTTTGAGGTCTCAGCCAAAGGACCCAAAGCTTCTATTTTAAAATACCAAGCGCATGGCGAAGGAACAGTAGCTACCAATTTTCCATCCACATGGTCAGTCGCGGTTGAGATTCGACATCACAACCACAAAGTGATTGCTCTGCCGACTGAGATACAGGGAACGATAATTGAAATATTGAAGATATCCTCATAAAAACTACAAAGATGCATTGCTGTGAACATAGCATTTACACGGACTTATACGAATACAAGGAGCCTAGAAGTAGTAAGCATTCCCTGTTAACCGGTCAGACCCGCATTGATCTCTAGACATTGATCAAGTGGATGGAACATTTCATAGTCAATTTTAGTACAAAAACAAGGTCAAACAATTGGAATGAAACAAGTCAATCAAAAGTTATTTACGAAACAATTCTTAAAGATGCTATAAAAAGCAATAGTTACTATTTCATTGTGTAAAGAAAGAATTAAACTACATTGAAACTTACTATAATATGCTGTTATTTTTTTCTTAATTCCAACATAGCAAGGCATAAAAAGTCACACATCCAATGCACTGTCATTATGACGACATTCCGTTTAACTGGACGCAGAGTTGTATGCACAGAGGGGAAGATCATGTAAATTTTTAAAACCAAATTAAAGTTTTATAGTAAAAAAAAATATTATTTACAGAATTTACACAAGCTATAAATTTGAGTGCAATTTTTTTAATGTTTTTTTTTTCATTTTTTTTTCTCCGTTCATAGCCTGGTGAACTGATACATCAGAAAACTTTTTGTAAGTAAATTGGAGGGTAGTTGAAATCTCTTAATATGTTAATCTTGTTCAAAGATTCTCAATGGATCATGACAAGCTTTAAATCATACCATCTAGAAGTAATTAGATAATATAAAAGTCCTGTTATACTGTTCAAATCTTAATAATGAATTTTATTATTTTTTTAATGAAGCTGGCCACCAGTAATTTCCATAGGCAGTTATATAAATATGATATAAATAAGGACATAGTAGATTCTTCATATGGAAAACTTTTTGATACAAACAATATATATTTATAAATTAATTATAATATTAATAAGATTAAAGTTTGAATTTTAACAGGAACATGCACTTGTTTTATTAGAATTAAAAGATGATATTAATTCTGCAAAATATCACGTGACTCTCGAATAACGTGACAACTTTAAATAGAAAAGCTTATTGTTTTCAACAGTGATAAACCACATATTTTCGTGGTGTAAATTTTTCGAGGTTTAAAGAAAAAAAATTGGTCAATGGAAATTTGATTTCCTTGTTGGATAAGTATTTATAAGTTATTGTGTATATGAAATTTTGCATTTCGTAGTGGACACAAGATCGTAGGTCTCTTCATACCTCGAAAGCAACGAAAATTAACACCCATGAAAATAAGGGATTTCAAAATTATTGTTAATACTATTATATTTGTATATACTACATGTGTTCTCCTTTATTTAAAAAACATGGTTAAAAATAAGTCAGTAAACAACTCTAAACAAATCACCTGTATATATATTTTGAGCATCAGATGTTCCATGAATCAGACACTCAATTATGGAAAATTAACAAAAATATTAATTACATACTTAATTCTACAATTTTATATACAGATATAGGTATTTATAAACAATAAATAATTTTTCGTATTTGTTAGAACGTGAATCATCCTTGCTGCTTTTACATAGAAAAATTACATACCCTATCTAACGTTAATTCTCGCACTGACAATCAAAGAAAGTACATTATATTTTTTTAAGTTAAATTTGCTTAATATTAGTTAAAATATTTAAAGAATAGCATTTCCGAAAAATAATACATATTTTATCACCGTATAAACAATTCACTGTACAGCATCGTTCTTACGTAGATGTTTAACACGTGAAAACTCAAAAGTGACTTCAATACAAAGCGGAAAAATATTGATCAGAAAAGCCAAATGGTCAGCCGAGATAAAATTTAATAAAACCTTCCTCTTGAAATTAAAAAACACAGACCTTTTCTGGGATAATTGTATAAGTAAGTATTTTTCTTCAGAATTTTGAATTCGTTTTCGATTTCCTACTGAAATGTTGTTATTCATTTTTTGCAATTTTCTGCTTGTAATCATGTATTAGTTTTTGAATTTTTAATAAGGAAGTACTCAAGTGTATATTAATCATGCAACACAAACAAAAATGATCATAATGATCCCTATTTTGATTAACATATCATTCTTTTAATACAAATTGTGCAAGTAAGAGAAATTAACTCTTATCAAAACAACTTTTGTCTGAAAGCAGTACATTTTCAATAGTCATGTTTCAAATCTATCATGCATACTGAAGAAATGAATACAATATCACTTTCCTGTTATATACATATAAATACAGGAAATTCATAATTTTAAACGGGGCGTCTTGTTAATTTGAAATAAAAGTGATGTTAGTTTCTCTTTAATTATTCCTTGAAATAAATTAAAATAATTAAAATAACTTGTTAAAATGTAGATCACATACTTTAAACCACCAACCACCAATACAGAGAAAATAAAAATGGATGCAGACTTTTCAAATTCCTTGTTCTCTTAATGTCTTTCAAAAGCAATCTTTTCAAAATCAAGCATGATCTTCTTCCGCACTGGAGATCTGTTTTCACGTTTAAGTCGTTTGTAGCATCTGTAAGAAAAGACGACATACAATTTGACAATGTAGATATCATATGCAAAGCTGACAGTCATGCAGTTTCTAACAACAGTATTATGTGATAATTAGACAGTGTTTCCATTTTACACAAATAATTAAACGTTTGTGCTTTTTTTTTGGGGGGGGGGGGATATAACGATATATTTTATCTTGCGTTTTCTTAAACAAAATGACTTTTATGCTTTCCTGCTAAGATTATGTTTGTTTTTCTCCTAAACTTTTCTAAATAATTACATCTTATATATGTATATCTCAATGATATATATAAAAAATAAAATGTAGGAGAACATATCACCTTTAAGCATAGGATGTTTAGATATACATTTCTTAGTTAAAAGTTATGATAAGGTTTTAACTTTACTTCTGTGCAGAAGTCGATTAGTTCGAATAATTCTGACATTTTAAAACTGTTAATTGCCTAGTCTTTGATAGCTAATTTTACATATATTACAAAAACCTAACAGAGAAAAATTAACACTGTAAAAAACGCTTACTTTGAAAAAATGATATTTCAGATTATTGGAGGAATATTATACTACAGTCTATTTTCATAAATCATCATCAATATAAATTTGTAACCCTCTTTGTTCCGCAAAACATTGAAAATTGAACCCCAATGAAAATTCAGGGCTTGACAGTAGTTCAATGATATGAGGAAATGATAAATATTTGTCTTTATTGAAAAAAAGCTGTTTTCTGTATTACTATAATGATAATATTCATTACAGATTGTCAACAAATGAACATAAATAAAAGAAAATTATCCTTGTTCAGAACTCTGTATCTTCCATGCTAATCATGTACCAGATGGTTAATTTTCTATAACATGACCTTGAACATAGCGAATTGAATGTAGTTTACTGTAGAATCGAATAAATGATAAAAAAAATACTTACTGCACTTTTATTCCTGCATATTTTAGTATTTTTGCAGATGCCTTGTATTTGGGTTTCTCGGCTCTATCGTTGGCGTAATATATCACTTTACTTATCCGTGACTGTGCCAGAAGCTTGGCACATTCATTACACGGAAAGAGAGTAACATATACAACACAATCTTTAAGACTAGTCCCGTGTCTATTTATAACCGCATTCATTTCAGCATGGCAAACTAAATATAAAAATGATATTTTCTAGACGTCAACATATACATATGAAGATAACCTTAATTTTTTTGAATTTTTTTAGTTTGGCTAGAAGACAATTTCTGGAATATGAAGAAACTAGAGAAATACCAAAGAGACTTTGCTCCGCCTTGTTTTTGGAAAATGTTGGATCATTTTTCTGTTTGGTCTTTTTTCTTTGTGGGTCAATAAAACCATTGTATCCTGTTGTAACGATTCTTCTCTCACTGTTTACTATACATGTTCCAACCTGAAAGTTTAACGCCAGTTTAGAATTACATTACACATGTTACATTGACCAGAAAAAGATCCATGGATTCTAGCACAGAGGCTTACGCTTAGTGTACGAATAAAGAAATTGATTCAGATGTATTTTGATTGACGTTCAAATTTTCAATCCTTTAGAGAGGTCATCATATGCCGGTGAAGGGCCTCAAATTTAGAATCATACTCGGTACTCAGGGTCATGGAGCAGTGAGGGTTCTTTATCGTACCAACGCCTTCCGTGACACGGAACCTACGTTTAAAGGTCATATCCGAAAGACCCATGACTTTCACGTCTAATGCTGAGCGCTTGGTGAAGAAGCAGTCACTACCTATGTTTTAGGGCTGGGCAATAATATCGATATTTCGGTATATTGCAATACAGTGACAAAAAATATCGTATTGCAATACGTTTTTGTAATATCGATATATCGGCAAAATGTGTCGACTATGGAATTTTATCATTAAATATGAAAATAAATGTAAGAAAGGTTTGTTATGAAGCCAGACAGTACAACATAAGCTGTTTTATGGTTGTATTTCAGAGCATAACTTAATAAAATCAAAAAGATTTTTTTTTCTTTTGCTAACTTATCATAGTTATGTACAATCTGCCTGTAAATTAAAGCTAATATAATAAGAAAAAGCCATTTTATTTTCGTTAAAAATATTGCAATACATATCGCAATACAGTTTAAAATATCGCAATATATCGCAATACGAAATTTCTGGTCAATACCCAGCCCTACTTTACATCTTATGTTTAACGCGGCGCGCGAACGAGTATCGAACCCGGGACTCTCGGTCACGAAGCAAACCCTCTACCACTAGGCTATGGTGACCGGTGGAATAAAGAGAAGTTTGAATTCAATAACATCGATTTTTTTTCTGGAATAGAGAAAAAAGTTTCAAAAATTTTCTTTTGAAATACTAATTTCAATTCTATATATATTTCATTATTAATAACATATAATCAGGATACTAAAGAACAGAACATTAAATATTTTTTTAGAAAATGATAAATAAAGATATGTTTAGATAGAATAGAAAATGTATGCTGTAAAATTAGAAAATGCCTTAGATTTCAGTTTTATTTAATGCCAGAAATAGTTTAATTTTCACTGTTAAAAACCTTTATAGAAATATTGTATCGAACCAATATATTGGATGAAACGCAGCATGTAAAACACGTTTTAAAAAGGTGACGTTTTTCTTTAAAATATTCTCCTTTTTCTCGCCATAAATTGTTAACTTTAGTAGAGGAAAAGGGGCAAAATATAAAATTCAGAGTTTGAACAATTATACCTATTTGAAAATTCTATTCTTAATTGTTTGTCAATGCAAAGATATCTAATTACTTAATTATTTTATTTGTACATGTATTGCGTGTCATCAGAAACATCCAATAGCCGAAACGACTCTCTCGATAGATATTAAAAATCTAAATATGCGAATAATCTTTGATATATCTACCCTCATGGAATACATTATCCTTTTTTATCAAAAATAAGTAGATCAGATGTACAACAGTTATATAAAACCCAATTTTAAGTAGGCATAGACTCTTTACGTTAGATTCCTTTTAATTTTAGCCACATTCTATTTTACAAAGCTCTCGCCAGGTCATTTTATTTCATTAAAATCTACGTTTATGAGAAAGGAATAATTGTACATGCATTCCAAATTTTGAAATCTGTTCCTAAAGAGATAGTTCAAACTATAGATTTTAAAAAGATGACCTACCGTTCGTACGTTATACTTGCTTCTTTTCGCAGATAAAAAGGCGATTCCCATGAAATATTCATCCCATGAAATAATGTCATTCATCTGTGAACTGAAAGATATTCATTTTATTTAATAAAAATGGTATGGAATGTTAAATAGTTAGTTGTCAACTTATCTTTACATTCTTCACATCTTTTATCATTATTGCACCTTTTTCTTTTGCCTTGTCCTGTTGTTCTGTCCACAATAGCAGTCCGTTTTGATTTCCGAGTGCTATACATGTTCTTTTTGTATTTATAAAACGCCTTTTTCTTTTGCCTTGTCCTGTTGTTCTGTCCACAATAGCAGCCCGTTTTGATTTCCGAGTGCTATACATGTTCTTTTTGTATTTATAAAACGTCTTATCGATTGATTTTTTTAAATTATCTACATATTTTTTGTAAATGATGAAATACATATACTAAATGTAGCCATTTGGACTACGTATTGCTTTTGAAAAATGTAAATCCTTCTTTAAAAAGATAATCACAAGGTATTTGCTTAAATATCCATGCCCTTTAGGGCGAATTTAAAAGAAAAAGTGAAAGTTGATATCAACTTCCTTCAAGATACGTCAGAATAAACATTAAGCATTAAACGGACACTTTTGTCCTCGTCAAATATAGATTGAATTTAAAGGATTTAAAGCATGATAAAGACTACGCATATTACCCGGGAGTTCATTTTCGGAAAACAGCACAATTAATTTGAGTATTGTGGGTAACCCCATTTTTCAATAGATATTATGCAATCTTTAAATACAATATTCTTCCTTAAGATGAAGGCGTTTATATTGAAATTTGAATCGTCCAAAATAAACGAAAGTATGAAAATACCTTTTTAATTTCGTTGAATATATGTGCTTATTAAAAAATAACACATTGAATAATTAATCCATGATATTTAAATCTAAAAAGCTATTTAATCTACTATAAATATTATTCTAATAATGGAACAATCCACGACTGTGTACCCTCTATCAAGAATATAACAAATATTAAATCCTAGTATTTTATCTAAAAAGATTATTTCATTTCGAGGAAAGAAAAACGCTACTAGAGTAATTATATATACAGCATTGAATTCTTCAGGTACGCAAAAATTCATGATTCAATATTGAAATGCATTGCAAACTGCTCAAGGAGAAAGTATTCTTTGACAAGAAAAAATTAGATATTCCTCCTGATTAAAGATAAATCAAAATATTAGTTTTAAGGAGTTGCTACTGTCCGACAATTTTAACACACAGACACTGTCCTTCACATACTCTCTCTCTCTCTCTCTCTGAAGGGGAGGGGGCAAAGTGTACAAACTCATATTAGCACAGGATGAGATCGGAAAATCATTGTGAGGTCATATTGATACATTTATAATGAATCCGGATGAACATGTATAAATATATTTTTTTAATTTTCTAACATTCAAATAATATTGTTTTACATGAACAATGTCAATAACATAAACTCAATATAAAATGAAAGCTAAATTAATCTTATTGTATACCAAGGAAGACAATGTCATTAACCTGTTTCTAGTATTGTAAGCGTGGATTAAGTTATACCTTTATCTTGTAAATATATTGATAATTTTAGTGGTCACTTATATTACAAAATGTTGCTTATAATGCTTGCTTGAAAATCGATTTCATAAAATAAAACAAAGACATTGTGTTTTACAAATGTTCACAGATCATAAACATTATCATTATATGTATGGCTAAGGGTTTTTAACAACAAAAATTTACTGTAAATACCAAAGATATAAAGTAGAGGAAAGATATAAAGTAGAGGAAGTCATACAGAGTTCAGAAACTATCCCAAGTAATTTATTTTTCGCTCGCTTTATTCAATGTTCAATTAAGGTTTATGACGAACTTTTTGAAAAAGCAATTTCTTCAAAATCTGCCCAAAGCGCTTCTTTTACCTTCTTCTTTGTAGCTTCTATAAAAAGAGAAACTTAATTAAAATAAACAAAAATATGTATATCAAATAGCAGACTGAAAACTAATATTTAGTCTTCACTTACTTATTCTAAGAAGCCTAAGGTCCTAAGCTCACTCAATTCCTGATAATCTTTCAAATTATTATTTTTCTGAATTGCATCTTTGCTTATTTGTTATAATATTTAATCTTTGCATTTTGGTAATGTTTTAATCCTTTCGTGAGGGGATACCACTCATTATGTTTCCAAAAATATTTTATATATCGATCTTTAATATAATTTTTTTTTAATTTTAAACTTAAATGTTAAGAATGGGATGGAATTAAAAATGTTTTAATGGAAAACGAAGTGCCTGTAGTTTTGAGTATATTATTCTATATTTTGTATAAAAGGAGCCAGATTATAACTTGAAAGAAAAATCGAATTAAAATTATTATTAATATTTTTAAAAAAAAACTTCCTTTAGCTATGAGTAAAACATAAGATGCAGGAAAAATTCATTGTGTATCTCTGTGCACATGCACTGACATTTGTTAGTTAAACTTTTGCATGTGTTTTTTTTTCTCAATTACCTAGATACAGAGTATGTGGATAGTTTTTTTTTTTGCCACTTAGTGTATACTATTGATAATACACAATCACGACTGTTGCAATCCTTTTACTGTTGCCTACTTTCTAATTTCTGATATAAATAAGCATACATACTGCAACCGTATTTTGGCAAACTTCAGCATTTTTCTAGATAACTTGTATTTCTGCTCGTCAGCTTTATCGTTGGCATAATATATAACTTTACTTATCCGTGACTGGACAAGCAACTTGCCGCATTCATTACAAGGAAAGAATCTGACGTAGGCAATTAATCCAGAGCGATATACATGTATATTTAACTTCGTATTTAAAAAAAGACAAACAAAACGATGAGTCGTACGATAACTGCCATACTACTTTCATATTTCACCTTACTTTATCATTTTACCCTCAAAATAATGTAGGGTAAATTGATAAAATTCGCTGAAATGTGATACATATTAAAAATAATTACACAAACTAGATAATTGCAAGTGTAAAAGGTAAAATCAAAGTTACCAGATTTACTTTTTTCCTCGTCTGAAAATATCTTTTCATTGTTTTGTTTTCCATGTGTTTCTGGTGGATCAATGTAACCATTGTATCCGGTTGCAACGATTCTATTTTCATTGTTGACTATACATGCACCAACCTGGAGATATTCATCGTATAATTTCTTTTTATCAAAATGTAGATATGACTAAAGACAATTTCGGTTTGAGAAATTTTGGGAAATTAAAGAAATTTTTATTTAACTTTAAATGATAATTGATGAGAATGAGGTAAATATTGTAAACTTTGTTTTTCTTTTTTTATTTTGCTCTTGTTTGTGTCACATTAAAATCTTCTCAAGATTTATATATTTGATTTGTATTATACACATGGCAAACCACTGAGGGTATTTCAACCCAACCCTTATTAGAATTTATGCTATGGTCCTGCTTCTCTGAGGTAAGCCTTATTTGCGTTTGTTTTTATTATTTTATAAAGTTGTAAATATCTTAAAACACCCAGACACGGAATTTCTAACATATGCAACTTTAAGCTATTCTATTTCATATTTTTAAGTTCTGTTATTTATAGTTACATTGTATTCGAAAACTGTTTGAGTCTTAATTGTACGGTGGATTGTTTGTGTCTTTATTTGTCGGTTCGATGTTCTATAATAACTGTTGTGAAGTATAGCAATTATTGCATTGTACATATTGCACTGTAACGTTTCACAGCGTAAATTATATGTCTATATTATTTTGTGTATGATATTTAATAGGTCTCATAGATCATTCCTGTAAAGTTGTGTAGAGATGGCGGCCCGTACCAGTCACATCTCATAGTCTTGAACGCAAGACGGACGTATAACCTCCTCGGCACTGGAGAAGGGGAGTGTAATCTCTTCGCACTGGAGAGGGGTGTCTGAGCCTCCTTAGCGGCAAGAGACAGTAGTGTATCCCAAACACCGTTTGGAACCATAGACTACCGGCATTCGGGGGACACGGACGACCACACACCAAAGCAGTTTATTTTGTTGTATAATATTTTGTTAATTAAAATGTAAAGTTTAAATGTAGAAAAGATTTTCTGTTATTTATCAAAGAGGAGTTTGGATCACTATTCTCTACGCAAGGTCATTATTTGACAAAATGGTGTCAGAAGTGGGATAAGTAAGAGATAGTCGATCCATTCTCATATTTAGTCATTGTAAAAAGAAATCAATTTTTGTTTTCAATTTCTACCAATAGCAGTGTTACAAATTTTTTGACATTTATGTTACCTACAAGTTTATTTTTTTCATTTGTTATTTTGTTTCTGTTGTGTGATCATTTTACGTGTTTTGTAGAAGAACTGTCCGGTTCTGGATGTTTGAGACCTCTGAGAAGTGTTTCCAAAAGTCGGCAATGTCTCAGTAAGTTGGACCATATCAGCATCCATATTGTTTGCCATGGGTATTGTATAGTAAGTTCAAAACTAACTATTTATTGTGTCCAATGTGATGTGAGGTTTTGGTCATTTAACTTACTTTCAAATCAGTATAAGAAAATGGACATTCTAAAAGAATTAAAAGAATATGGAGAGTCCTTAGGGTTGAAAGATGAGCAGTTAACAACTTTCATTAGAGAACAACAAGCTATTCAGAGAGACGAGAGAAATGCGGAGAGAGAATTAGAAAAGAAAAGACTAGATTGTGAGGCAGAGAAAGAGAAAGTCTCATTAGAATTAGAGAAGGAGAGGTATTGGTATGAGATTGAGCAGATGAAAGTTGAGAAAGAGTTTGAAACACAGGTAGTAAATACTAGCAAAGATATGCAATCTGATCACAGTCAAGGTCGAGTTACACCTAAAGCTCCAAAGCTTCCTGTATTTAATGAACTTCACGATGAGATGGACAGTTTCCTTCTCCGGTTCGAAAGGTATGCAGAAGCACAAAAATGGGGTGAAGAGAATTGGGCTGTTAATTTAAGCGCACTTTTACGGGGTAAAGCTCTAGATGTTTACTCGTTAATGCCCAAAAGTGAGGCCTTAGACTATAAGAATTTGAAAAAAGCTCTACTTAGACGATTTGAACTGACGGATGACGGGTTCAAGAAAAAGTTTAGATCTTGTCGACCTGATCAATTAGAAACTTTTGCTCAATTTGCAGTTCGCCTTAGTAGCTATTTTGATAGATGGATAGAAATGGCAAAAGCACCAAAAACATTTCAGGGTTTGTACGATCTCATGTTGCGTGACCAGTTTTTACATATTTGT